GGATTCTCAATTTCTGCTTTATCTAGTGCTTGCCGTACTGCTGCTGCCACTTCCCCCACCTTCTCAGGGGAAGGTCTTCCAATCAGAATATCATCCACACCTTGGCTGTTTCACATCTTGAGGGCTCTTCATGCCCTTCAATTCCTCCCTAAGGGGAAGGAAAGGGTTGCCACCCTTTCTGGGGACTGGCACGAAGGAGTTGAAATATGCTCCTTCCTTTCGCTGTCTCTGGAATGCTTCAGTCAGACTCAGGGCGAGGCTCTGGGAGTGCCAAGTGTTAATGCATTCCTCCCTAAGTCACCTTCAGCCGCTTCCCCAGTACGCCAATTGTCTCGAGCCCATTCTTCTGAGAAGCTGGGACTCAGATTCACTCAGTGCTTCTGTGAATAGCCTGTGACACTGCTTGCCATCCTCCCCACTACGCAGGTTTGTCACAGGTGGAGTGATGCACTTCACTCGTAAAAGAGAAGCAGCAATGTCACTGGTGTAAAGCAGCCACTTAACAAAGTTTGGTAGTAAATGCGACAGAGGTTTCACAAGATGCGATGGCAAGGTACACGGGATTAGTGACTGCGAAGAGAACAGGGTAAGTCAGATGCGTCAGGGAGACCCGTTGAGTCATGAGGCTCAGAGAGGACCCCCTTGCTTTCTAAACTGCTCGGGGTAGGTGCAGCTGGATCCAGTCCTAGTCTCAGATTAGTCAACAGTTTATGTCTAAAGGATTATATGTGCACAATCAATCTAAGACATAATCTTAGTGAAGCTTCAAAGTTTAGCAAGCTATTAGTCACTTACTGAGGATCTGTTGCGGCAAGGAATCTCTCAACCTTGAGGAGTGACCTTGAGACATTTGCGTTCTTGTCTGCTGTCACTGCTTTGTTGTTCTGCTTCCTTTCAAAATCTATTAACTTCATGTTTTTTATGATTATTCTTCTATGTGTTACTCTGGTTTTTACACCTTCAGACTATTTCTGCCTGGTTTTGCTAGAAGCACCACTGTTATGATTGCTTTTTCTATCATTAGGAAAAAAATGGGGACCTAATAAATGTTTACAAATATCTCAAGGGTGGATGTCAGGAGGATGGGGCCAAATTCTTTTCAGTGGTGCCCAGCAACAGGACAAGGGGCAACGGGCACAAACTGAAGCAGAGGAAGTTCCAGCTGAACATGAGGAAGAACTTCTTCCCTCTGAGGGTGACGGAGCACTGGAACAGGCTGCCCAGGGAGGTTGTGGAGTCTCCTTCTCTGGAGATATTCAAGACGCGCCTGGACAAGGTCCTGTGCAGCCTGCTCTGGGTGACCCTGATTGGGCAGGGGGTTGGGCTGGGTGACCCACAGAGGTCACTTCCAACCCCCACCATTCTGTGGTTATGTGAAAAACCAGCCTCATTAGTGCCTTCTAGGATTTTCCTGTGCAATGGGCCCTGCTGCATCACTTTCTGAAGGAGGGAAATGCACATGCCGTGAGTTCCCTGCTACTACACAATCCTGGTCTCTGGACAAATGTCTCAGCTGCCAAAAAGACACTTCCAGCTGTGGGTTTGGTGGGCTTTCAGTAAAATTCAGCTGTGGCAAAATCATTGGCTTTACAGCTTCTGCTTTGACTGAGAGACTCTTCTGGCCTGTCTCAGTCTGTCTTCTGGACCTTAAACACACCAAGCCTGTCCTTGCCCCCCCTTCCCGAGCCATGCTCAAGGTGGCTCACCGCCCCGGTGCAGGGTCTGCAGGGTGGACTGCCTGTGCTGGTTCTCAGCCGGAGGGCACAGGTGACAGGCAGCGGTGGGAAGGCTGGAGCTCAGCGTCATGGCAAAGCGGTCCGAGGTGCTAGGAAAATACGCTTTGTAGAGCGAAAGTGGGAGCGTACATTCATTTAACTGAACATTTAAGCAAAATCTCCCCTTATTGTTTAGGGACCTCTAAAGATTTATTAGCGGTGAGCTATTTGAACTTAAAGTCTGAGAGAGTCCACGGGAGGTTATTGTTCTGCCGAGAGCCAGACAGTGACGAGCAGACGGGAAGAACTCGATGTACAACTCGATCCCAGGCTGCTCCGGAGCTGCCACGGGCTACCTGAGACCTCCAGCCTGCCCGCTGGCGTCTGGGATCCAAAACCGGTCCCCGAGTGAAGGTGCTACGAGCGCCGCTCCTCCCGCTTTGATCCGTAAACTAATTTTAGCAAAGGTCTTTCCTTTTCCCCCTTTACTCTGACGTCGGGTGCCGGGCGCGGCGGGGGGGCCGGTGCGGGGCCGAGCCCAGGCCTG